ACACTCGGACAAACACATCGAATACACATTCACACGAATCAAGCCCTCGATGTAATCTGTGCACGCAAAGTTGGCATATACACACTGTCACGTTCGAGGGCCTCATAAATATTCGAGGAGCGTGAAAGCGAAATAATGCGGCTAATCCGTTGGGAATTTTTTTTCCTAGCTTTTAACGTTACGAAAGAATTATGAAGTACATCATCTTTCATATTTTCGGTATTAAAATCTCTCTCTCTTTTTCACTCTCTTCTGATACACCCTTAACATAGCAAGAGACTTAATAGGGCAGTCAGCTTGACGGAGTTACCCTCCTTTCGTAGAAAATTATCGACATCTCGTACGTGCTATGCCGCGAACAATTATCGTTGATTCCTTACACGCCAACAAGCGCTATTATCTTCGGCTTTTTATTTTCTTGATCTTGATAAAATAATAATAATAATAGTACGATAATAGCAAAGGTCATTTTAATTAGGGTCAGAAGGTTGAAGGAAAACTCGATATCACTAGTTTTATCCCCAATAGTTAAGACGACTAAAATTATTCGAAATATACGATATGTTATGCGAGATATATTATAAAGTAAAAAATTTCCATGTTACAATATTAACGAGAGATTATCCTATCTTTTAGTTTTTCGCTCTATCTGTTTGGAAGACGTTGCAAAGTTATGACGTTTGATATTTGAGTTTTGGACAGGAAATATGTTTAGACATATTCCAATATGCATTGCGAATGCATCGAAGGTTAACGTTGAAAAGAGATTTGTGGTAGAGATATGTTAAAATAATACAGATGAAATCTGTTTCTTTTGATTTCAAAAAGAGAAAGATCAGGGAGAAGTAATGCCAACGGACAGTTGGCAAGATGCCTTATGTTCGGCAAACGAAGGAAGAGATTCCACCAAGAAAGTTTGATGCGTGTTGTTCTAATTGGACATGAGTTTTTAGAGAATGAAAAGCAATGCTCGACATCGGTATGGCTATGCATCGTAGACCGAGACGGATATTAACGTTCCGTCTGTTGAGATCAGTTGTTTCCGCATTATTGGACGTATATAGACATAATAGACGCCCTGACCAGGAACAGGAAAGAGATGGGAAATTGAACTCGGTAAATGGGATTGCGAGAACGACAGAGAGACAGAGAGACAGAGAGAAAGAGAGAGAGAGAAGATGAGAGAGAGGAGAAACTTAGAAATAAATAACATCGCTGACACGAGCTCGTTGGTTTCAGGGATCCGTTTAACCGAGTGAAATAGCACTCAACGTACCCTCCACTTTCTTCTCGAACCTATTCAACCTTTTTCTTTGTGCTCCGTGTTCTTGTCGTTTTCTCTCTTATCGACTCGTATGTATTGCATGTATATATTGCGACCAGACGAGGAGTAATATACAAATGTATACGGATAATGATTAAAAAAAAAAAAACATGGAGATAATAGAAAATGGGTAAGTTCAGTAGGTACATGTTTCTTATTTCGAGAAAATATGTCGGCAACGATTCGTATATAGCGCTATTTTTTTCTATTTATTTATTTCTTTTTTTCATTTCTGTTTTGTTTATGATCATCCTAACGTGATAATTACTATGAGATAACACAAGAAACGAAAGTCGTGATATCCTTCGTTGCTCGTAAATTTACGTCGTTGGCTCGTCGAATTTACGAGGTTGCATTGTGTAATAATGAAATTTTCCCAACGTCTAAATTTAAAGTTTCGATCCGTTCAATGTTGAAAGTTTTCGCCACGTGTCTGCACATCGGCGGAACAATGGGGTATCCAGTCACGTCTGCAACGATCTTTTTCTTACGTTGGTGTCGAGTGGAGTAACTCGGTTACATGGAGTCAATCTTCTTCCTCCCTCTACCGAGTTCAAGTGGATCGAAGTTTTGCCACTTCACTGCGATCAGCTCTACGTTTGTGTCGACCTCGATGCTACTTTCCTACTACTTCAACGAACAATATGAAATGAATTTCGTCCTTGACGCCTATTCAATATCACGTTTTGCATTTGTATATATATATATCCACGAGGCATGTTCCTCTTGGCACGCCCGAAAACCCGATCTCTTTGATTTCCTTCGATTATCCAAATACATACAGTTATTTTTATAAATATTCGAACACCATAGTAATCGTAAAATTATCATTTCACATATTTATTTATCATATATTTATCACATTTATTTTGTTGTAATACGTTAAAGTACTTATTTATATCTACGTATAATATATATACGTACAAAAATATATACTTTATTTTTTATTGTTTTGTACATATTAAATCTTAAACAAAATTAAAAACAGTTTTGGGATCTCAAAAATATTCGGACATTTAAAAATTCATAATTCATCATTTAATACTACATAAACTAAATTATAACAATTGTTTAATATTATGTTGGTTGTCCCTTTTGTCTAATTACTTTTCTTAAACGTATGAGCATATTAGAAATTATTTTTTCTAAATAATTCTGCGATATGCGTCCTCACTTTTCTATTAAACGAGCTTTCAAGTGCTCTTTCGTTTATATCGGTATTATTTTAATGTTGCAATCCAGTAAATCCCATAGGTTTTCTTATTCCCATAGGATTTAAGTGCGATAATTGTGGAGGAGGATGTAATAATTTTTGTACGTACGTGTATTGCAATAAGTACTTTAATCAATTACAACAAAATAAATTCAGTAAACATATGATAAATAAGTATATGAAGCGATAATTTTGGAATCACTACGCTGTCTGAATATTTATGAGACTAACTGTACTATTGACTATTAAAGTCAATCGATGATCCTCTTATATCGTCAGAAAAAATAATATCAACTTTTCTTATATAACCGTTTTTATTTTCACAGTCTATACTGATTATAAAACGATTAAGAAATGATACAATCTCTGTCGCTGATAACTAAACATATTTCATTTTATTTATCGTTCAAATTTACATGCGATTACGATCGACTGCATGAATTAGAATTTTCTTATTAGAGATACTTCTATCTATAGTTCATTGATCTATTATAGATAAGAAAGTAAAATCGATTGTACCGTTTGAAAAAAAAAAATCATAGATATTATAAAATTAGTTTCTTTATGTTTTATTAATCATCAATTTCTTAATGTATTTGAGAGAGACCGACGTAAAACTAATTTACTGTCTATCTGTTAGTTCACCTGTATAAACTGATAAAGGAAAATAATTATCAGTGAACATTACTGAATAGTATAAAAGGCAAGTAACTACGAAAAACGAAATAGATCATGAAACGCGACACGAAATAAAAGAACATCTACCATGCTGAGGATCGTGATACTTTTAATTCATATTTTATTAATCGTTGCCAGACCAACTGAAAATGATGTAGAAAATGGTAAGAATAATATTTGATAATACATTTAATAATAATATCACTTTTCCAACTGAAAATCTTTTTCTTTTTTCTTTTTTCTTTTTTTTTTTCTTTTCTATTTTTAGACAACACGACTGATATAGAATTTTTACGCAATAATTGCGTTCTATCCACGAAATACAAGTATGGCGATCTTAAAGAACCACAGCCATTGATTCTAACTCGAAATGGTACTGCATCGGCGATACTTTATCCCAACGTTAACGGTACATTAAATGTGCGAGCAGGTCAGTCGATTTATTTGGCATGTCCGGGAGAACGGAATTTTATAAAAAACACGGATTACGCCCAGGAAGTGAAAGCTACCTGCGTAAGGAATAAAATATTTCACGTTAACGGTGAAAATCGAAATTTTTCATCATTGATATGTTATCATTTGCCTGAGCACATTGCAAGACGTACAAAATTGTCGTGCTATAACAAGAATACTCACGTCGAAATCGGTTTCAATCTGAGTACCAATTTTCTGCGCGTGATAGAACTATGTCGCAATGAAAAAACCTATAATACATACTACACAAAATTTAGACTGATAAAATCGATTGGAGGATACCAGAAAAGTTATCCTAGGTAAGCGATCAATAACGATCTTATTTGCAAATATAAACGAATATATATACGGGTGAACAGCGAAGAACAACACATGAATCTATTTACGAACAGTCGAAGCGGAAATGATAAACAACGACAATAAGGTTTAGTTTGTAAATTTTGTCTCGGAATATCGTATTTGCTTATACGGTAGAATGACGAATATATTCGGCGAGGAAAGAACTTGGAAAAATATGAAATTCAATTTAACCGGCTGTTACGTTTCCCTCCGTAATTCTATTGATAATCATCGATAATCTCATTTTCTAGGCCGTCAAAATGGATGGTTGGAGATTATTTCGGAAAGATAGATATTAACTGGCAATACAACTTCAACGAGCAGCTTATCACACTTGCAAAACTTTTGAATTCGAGTGAAATAGCGAAGTCCCATCTAACGAAATCAAAACAGTTTTTATCCCGTGGACATATGACGGCAAAGGCCGATTTCATTTATGGTGCTTTACAATCGCTTACTTTTTGGTACATAAACGCGGCTCCTCAATGGATGTCCTTCAATGCTGGCAACTGGGAAATTCTTGAGAGCAATGTCAGGAACTTTGCTACTGATCGTTCTTTGGATCTAGATGTTTACACGGGTGTGCACGGTCAAATGACCTTGCCCAATGCTCGTGGCAAACAGGAAAATATATATCTCTACGTCAATGGTACGACTAAAGCCGTTCCTGTTCCCAAATTCTATTGGAAAATAATCTACGATCCACGAAGCCAGAAGGGTACCGCGTTTGTTGGTTTGAATGATCCCTTTATCAAGTCGATCACGGAAGATATCTACATATGCTCGGATATCAGTTCCACGATCGAATGGCTTGACTGGAGACCAAACGATATCAAAGCTGGTATCTCTTATGCGTGTACCATCGATGATCTACGTGAAGCAGTACCAACCATACCTAAATTTAAAACCGTTGGTCTTCTAACGTAAAAATCGATAAGAATAATTTCGAAAATATTTGAATACTTCGCAAAATAAAAAGTCGAAAAGAATATTTACTCTAATTGGTACATTCGATTATTTCCTTTGATCTTTGATACGTGCCGATTACGTCTTAAATTGGTTGACCTAATTCCTCGACATTCTTATTAATAATTTAAATTTTAAAGAAAGCTGTAGATAAATGTATATTGTGTTATCGCACGTCTCGCGTCTTATCGTGCTAATTATTGGAACTAAAAAAAATAACGAATAGCAAAAAGTTGATTTAGCTGATATCGTAACATTTCGTGATTGAAAACCTTTTCGTGATTGAACTTTAATAACAAAATAAGAACAACTTATATACAATAATATATATAACTAACAGCTTTACTGTTAACTCTCTTAAGAAAATATTCAGATATTTCGAAACGTTCGCAAATCATATCTTCTCAGGCATGAATTCCCTTAGAACACAGGCGACAACCCTTTGTTATGTGTCAAAATTTCTAGGTGCTTAGAAACAGCCTTCTAGTTCCGAATTAACTCCGAACTCCTCCAGGCCAGTTCATAACATTACCCTCCCTCTCTGTAGTTGTCGTCCCGACAACTGAGGTCTTCGCTAAGCGGGCTTCTCTCGACTTTTTCATGTTTAAAATCTTCGGCTCCAGGATACCCATCGACAGCACTTCTTCTGCTTTTCCATAACATCCCTTGTGCACGGAAGTTCTTGGTCTCAACCGTATAATCCCCATGAGCCAAATGCGACCCGTTTCTTGACTTTCTCTCCAGGGGAAAAGTCAAGTTCTTGTCCCCTTCTAGGCGTTTTCTCGTTCTTATTCAGCAGTACCATAGGCATGGGGAGGCATGATAGATTTCCACGGGTCTATTCTATCCAATGATCGACCTGGCATTTATCCGGAGCACGAACTTGGAGGAAAAATCATGATCAAAAATTCCCGGAGAATCGTCGGTACTCAGCATTCTTCTCTCTTCCTTTTTCTTCTTCTTTTATTCCCGGATTTCCCGTGGACTGTACTTTTTCTTTCTTTACGCATTTTTCCCACTCGAGTCTGATTTAGTATCTTCTCCGAAACGTCTACTAAAACGAAAATTTTATCCGGCAAAATTTTCTAAAAACATATTTTACTTATCATAATAAATTTTAAGCCACTTCTCGAACATTGAAACAAAACATTCAGCTCTGACACGAATTCATCCTTGCACTTAAAGCACGATTTAATTTCACTAAAGGATTTTCGAAATTTCTTATATTTCTTTGCACTAGTTTCATATCATTTGCCTAAATCGAAAAATTTTCCCTAGCTGGATTAATAATACTTATCCGGTATGATTCCTCCTCTGAAATACTGGAATGAGCCTCTGTTCATTCAATACGTTCGTCATTTCATCTCCTATCCACTTCGAGTTCCTTCCGCTGTTCTTTAAGTTCCTCCCAGAGCTCTTGGACAAGCAAAATGAGCGTTTATATCTACTTCTCTTTCCTTTCTTTCGCTCGCCAACTTTCCTATCTCTTTCGTGAAGTCATGTTTTGATAAAATAAAGTTGATATCATATCCCGGACGAGCTTCCAAAATTATTACGCGCAACCATACGATTGAACGAAAAATGAACTTTAATAAAAAAAAAAACAAGGACAACTTATATACAATTAACGGCTTTACAAATTCTCTTATGAAAATATTTAGATATTAATATTTTAGGAATATTTATGAGTCACGTTCTTTCAGGCCTTGTTCTCTTAAAAGGCAAATGACAATCCGTTGTTATGTGTCAAAATTTTTGGGTGCTTAGAAAAGGTCTTCTAGTTTCGAGTAACCTTCGAACTAATCTAGGCCGGTTCGTAACTATATGTACATGCATATATATTTATCTATCTATCTATATATATATGTATATACACACCCACACAGACGTTTGAGTATCGAAAGTAATTTACGCGAATATGGTTTGTTTCAAAAGCCGAAAAAAGAAATGCTACAACCAATTCTAAAAAATAAAGAATGTATTGAAACAGTACTGGAGTATATACAGCGTAATCCCCATACAACAGTTCGAGAGATTTCAAAGACAAGCAGTATTTCACAATCTTCTGTTCACCGTACTTTAAGGAATCAGAAACATAGTCCATTTCCAAACGGATTTCCAACTGACAAACAATGAAGCATAAGGGTTAAAATTCAACGTGTGAACTGTTGTCAATTTTTAAGACGAATGCAAGAGAATGTAAAAATTTTAGTTTTAACATTTTTTTGATAGATGAAGCCACCAACAACGGAATGAAGTACACCAACAACAGAATATTTAATCGTCATAATGAATACAAACGGTCTACTGAACATCCTCATTTAAGAAGAAGTACAAATAATCAAATACGATACAATATTAATGTCTGATGCGGCATACTTAATAAGTGGATTATCGGACAGTATTTTTTTAAAAGTAATTTGAACGGACAAAGATACCGAAACTTTTTGAAATTTGAATTACCAACTCTCTTGCATGACACCTAAGTTCCCTTATTCATACGACAAATAATGTATCTTTAATAAGATGTGGTTACAGCACATAATTCTCAAGCTGTCATCAAATATTTAAATGAAAAATATCCAAACATCGGTATTGGATAAGGTCTAATTCTTTGGTCTCTGCGGTTTCTAAATTTGACACCCCTTGACTTTTTTTATGGGAATTTTTAAAGGATATAGTGTATTTATATCCAATAAAGTCAAGAACGCATAGCGTTAGAAATATTAGAAATTACAAAAAGACAATTACAGGATGTCATAAAAAATAGAAAGAATGGATCATTTGAACATCTCTTATAGGGTAAATAATGTGAGAAATTGATATTAGAAGATGAATTAAGTTTACAAATAAGACACTGATAAAACGGAACGTGTGAAAGATTACGTCTAAATGTGTGGAGACATTGAAATAATTGAGTACTTTTGAAATTAAAATGACACCTAAATTAACAATTTCCAGACATAACATTATTAACATGTTTTATAAAAACTGCTATTTTTGAAAAACTGCGTCGATTAATACATTCAAAATTAGTTTTATTTAAAAAAAAAAAAAAGTGCGATTGTACCTTGCAAATGTACCGATGCACAAAAATGCATGAAAGTTTCATAGAATTATGTAGCGCTTAATACTATTTAATTTTGTCATATAACGTTTTTCTCGATTTCCAATTCTTTCAAAGATATAGCACGGCCCAGTTCCGTGAGACACCCTGCATACATTGACTATTACACTCGATCGATGTCTATCTTATGTCTTTTTAAAAAAAAACAATATTAACTTTTCCTATATAATCGTTTTTATTTTCACTGTCTATCCCGATTAAAAATTGATTAAGAAATGATACAATCTTTCTCGCGTATAACTAAATATATATCGTTCTATTTAATGTTCAAATTTACATGCGATTACGATCGATTGCATGTACTTCTCATTAAAGATACTTCTATCTATAATTCATCGATCTATTATAGATAAGAAAGTAAAATCGATTGTATCGTTCGAAAGAAAAAAAATCCACACATATCATAAAAATAGTTTCTTTATATTTTATTAATGCGTTGCACGCCCAGCCATTTTTGCTTCACATTTACAACTTTTCATTCAGGCTATTTGATGTTTCGACTAAATATTGATACATTATCATACAATATTTCATTACATCATCAATCCGTAAGTAATTAGCTTGTATATAATAGTTATCACATCGTGCATCATCCGTGCATTGCAATCAGCTTGAAAAAAAAAAAAAATATATATATATATATATATATATATCAGTTATAAAATATATGTTTTTAGAGCATTAAATAAATATGTCAGCATGTATCACTGGTGTTACATACGCCCTGAATGGAAAGTTTAACATAGACCATAAGTGGTACACGTGGCACGGAACGTGTTAATCTTTAACCATTTGAGTTTCAAGCAGCGCGATTGCGTTGTTTAAATTTCATGTCGGAAAAATCCCATTCGAACACTATATACGTCCGATCACTTTGCCAACTACTATAAGTTTGTTAATATGAAAAGCGTGATCTCGTTAATTAGCATCAAATACATAAATTAAAACAAATATTATCGCGTTGATTAGCATTTCTCAACATAAAAAAACAAGTACATTATTGCATCGCTCTTCGTATCCAATTAAGACAAGCCCTATTGCGTTAATCGGTCTATAATGTTTCCTTTATGATTCTATGGTATTCAAACGGTTAATTTCTTATAGTTATCACAGTTCAATAAGTCATCATTATGTCTGTACAAAATGATAAGAAAAAATAATTATTAATGTACATTACTCAACAGTATAAAAGAGAAATAACTTTGAAAAGAAAAGTAGATCTTGAAACGCGAGGTAAAAGAATATGTAAACAGTACCATGCTGTGGATCATGATACTTTTAATTCGATTTTATTAGTCGTTGCCAAACCGATCGAAATAATGTGGAAAATGGTAAAAATAAAATATTTGATAATACGTTTAATAATAATATTACTTATCGAGCTAAAAATCTTTTTCTTTTTTTTTTCCTTTTTTCTTTTTTTAAACAACATGATTCATAAAGATTTTTCAAGCAACGATAGAGTTCTATCCACGAATTATAATAAGGACTATCTTAAGGAACCATATGCATTCACAGATTCTAACTCGAAATGGTATTAAATCGGCAATCTCAACGTTATCGGTACAATACTGATGCGAGCAGGTCAGTTGATTCATTTGGCATATCAGGGAGATCAGAATTTTCTAAAAAATGTGAACTACGCCCAGGAAGTAAAAGATACTTGCGTAAGGAATAAAATATTTCACGTTAACGGTGAAAATCGAAATTTTTTATCATTCACGTGTACCTATAAGCTGAACCATATTGTAAGGTGTACGAAATCGTCGTTCTATGACAGGAATGCTCATGTCGGAATTGATTTCAATCTAAGCATGGATTTTCTACGTATGATAGAACTCTGTCACAATGAAAAAACCTATAATACATACTACACAAA